GCAGCAGCAGCCAGGTCCAGCTGCTGCTGCTGCATGCGCCGCAGCAGCAAAGACAACTCCACATTCAAAAGGGCCCTCAGCTCCAAACGAGACCCCAAAAATATTCCCTCAAAGAGTCTCTCATCCACAGCAGCAGCAGCAGCAGCAGCAGCAGCAGGCACTCCTGCACAAATCCACACACGCAAGCCCCACGAGCCTGGCTAGCTGGGCAGCTAGCTGGATAGCTAGCTGCACCCAGACCTGGCTAGCTGGCTAGCTAGCTGGCTGGCTAGCTGACTAGCTGGCTAGCTGACTAGCTGGCTAGCTGACTAGCTAGCTGGCTAGCTAGCTGGCTAGCTAGCTGGCTAGCTAGCTGGCTAGCTAGCTACGCGGGTGGGTGGCCACCTAGCTGCACGAATAACTGGCTAGCTAGCTACCTAGCTGGCTAGCTGGGCGGGTAACAACTAGCTAGCTCACCAAGGAGTTGCTTAAGGGAAGGCGCCTGCTGCTCTTCAAGCGAAAAAGTCTGCCGCAGCGAACTGGCAGCAACGGGAGTTAGCTGCACCAGCTCCAGTGCTGCAGCAGCAGCAGCACAAACCCTAAACCCTAAACCCTAAACCCTAAACCCTAAACCCTAAACCCTGAAGCCTGGGCAGCAGTTTGGAGGCAGCGAGAGTCGGCGCATCCGATCCGCGGCCCTAAACCCCAAACCCCAACCCTAAACCACAAACCCTAAACCCCAAACCCTAAACCCTAAACCCTAAACCCTCACTGGACTCGACTTGGACGGGTTCGTCTGCGAGGCTGAAGAGGTTGTTGAGGTCTTGAGGAGTGAGTTGATTGATGACAAGAGAAAAGAGAGAATTTGTTTTTTGGTTTGCTGCTGCTGCTGCTCGTTGAGAGCTTGCTGCTGCTGCTGTTTGCTGAGGGCTTGCTGCTGCTGCTGCTGCTGCTTTGCTGCTGAAGAAGTCCCTGAACTCCAAACTCACTGCGAAGCTGCCTGCTGCAGCAAAAGTGAGGGGTTTGCTGCTGCTTGCATGCAGCAGCCTGCAGCTGGGCAGCAGCAGCGAAACCCTCGCCAGCGGGGCCTGCTGCAGCAGCAGCAGCAGCTGCGCAGCAGCAAGAAACCCGTAGCGGTCCAGCGTGCGGCTGCTGCTCGACTCGGCCAGCGCCTGCTGCTGCTGCTGCAGCACCTGCTGCTGCTGCTGCTGCTGCTGCTGCTGCAGCAGCTGCTGCTGCC